CTGGGGGCGGAGCAGCGCGATGCACAGGCGGAGCAGACGTCGCTGCTGTCGGGATTCCGCGCCGTCAGCGAGCAGGCAGCAGCAGAGGTGCGGCAGCTGCGTCAGCGCGAGGAGGAACTGCGCGATCGGCACGACGCCATGGTACGCCTCCACGCGGAGATGGAGGAAAAGGGCACGCAGGTCGTGCAGGAGTGGCGCCGGCTGCAGCAGGAGCGGCAGCAGCTTATCGCGGAGAAGGACGCACTGCGCGACGACGAGGCGCAGCTGCGGCAAACGGGGCAGTGCCTCCAGATGCTGAAGGGGCAGCTCGAAGCCACACGCTCTGAGGCGGCCACGGCGCAGGACCACACTCGCGCACTTCAGCACGAGCTTCGCGTCTCGCACGACGCTGTAGAGAAGTTGCGTGAGCCACACGCAGAGTCGAACTTACGCACGTCAGTGGCCGCACCGCCACAGCGCAGTGCAGTGCCAAGGGTTTCGCAAAACGCCAACCGTCTGCCCCTCCGCGTGCTCACTGAACTTCGTCATATGCTTGGCAAGGACAGGAAGCAGCAGGAGCAGCTACACGCCACTGTTGAATCCACCATGCGGCGCCCGCACGATCCCATGACGGGCATTACCTACGCATCGGCCACTACAGCACCGAACCTCAGCGCGTCGCTTCATGACAGATCTCTTGGCCGCAAAGATCCGCGTCAGCAGAAGCAGCGGAAACCGCAGGAAAATCGGTTCGTCGACCCATGTGACGCCTCAAGAGACACCTCCGCCCACCTTTACGACTCCTCCAACAACAACTTTACATGTCTCTTAGCATTTTCTGACACGGAATCACTGCACCAATCACTCCAGAGTTCTGCATAGTACGAATGATCAATACAGAAGGCATTCGTGCAACGCGGCCCATTCATCCAATGAAAAATACAAAAATGCTTCCCTATCAAGTATGCAATACTTTCACTTCTGTGTAGAGACAAATCGACTTTTATGCAACGGATACCCGGATAACTCGACTTGCTTACTTCGCTCTTTCTTTTTTTTTTGAACAAGGGGCTGCACGACAAACACTACACACCATAATATAGAAAAAAAAACACTACTGATGCACAACACGATATTCAGGTAAAGTATACCAGGAGCCACTGACTGAGACAACATCATGCACCACTCTGACCAACGTCCCCCCCCCC